AAAAAAAACTAGTGATACCATCTTTTCTCTTTATTGAAGGTAATGAATAATATGCGGAAAAGGGGAGTGTCGTGTTGACAGTATTGGTAAAAGTGAATTTGATATATATAAGAAAAATAACTCATTATAATGTTCTCTTGTAAACATAATATATCAATGAACTTGGACATAGTTGATATAAATTGAGTAGCATAAACGTAAGACTGGTTTTTAATTAATAAATTTCAAACGATAACGTTTTGTTTTTAAATAAGTTGTCAATTGTCTTTTTGTTCAATGAACATAAAACGATTTTGTTATGGATATTAATAAAATACACTTTTTTTTCAACTACTGTCTACTTCACATGTAGATCGCTTGAATAATTTTCGATAAGGATCTAAGCTTCTCACCAATGAACATAGTAAATGAGATATATCTGATGTAGACATCAGATGTTTCAAACATATTATATTTGGCCCGGTGAAGAACGCTTAGAAAAAAACGACTCATATCAATATGGATCATCTTATAATGTAAAATGAATTTTCTCATATCATCATTTTTGTTACATTCACTAAATATATTGTTAATTATTCGTATTTTATTCAAAATTTTCATGCATATTCACATTTTTGTTCTATTGAAAAAAAAACTTCCAAATCATTCTTTTTATATGAAACAAAAATATTTTTCAATTTTTAACAAAAAATTGTAATTGACTTTTTCACATATAAATATATATACATTACAATAAAGTACATATCAATAATATATGTTCTCATTAAAACCGTTCTATCATTGACTATAATTGATGTGTTTTTCTTTCCTATATATCATGAATACTCTACCCCAGGTCTATATTATTTTCGTTGTGCTTCATTTCTTTTCTTTTTTTTTTGTAATTGCATTCAACCAAGGAATATTGTGTTGATTGAAGAGACACATGAAGAGAACATAATTAGCCGATAAGCAATTGACGTATTCTCTCTCATATCGACTTATCTGCCTTACAGGGAAGACAAGTTTTTTTTAGCACCTTTTCCGTCAAACGAACTGATTTCTTATCATCTTCAAATTGTCATAACAAAATCAAAAGAAAAAATAGACGGAGAAGGATATTAATGAATATGAGAAAAATATTGATCACGGTTATTTATATATAATTTGAAGGTTGAAAAAAAAATATACACAAGATACGCTTATTGGTTTCGTTGATCAACATTCATTTCTATTTTCAATAAACTCAATTGGTATACTGTGATGTATGCATCGTAAATGATAAATATAACTGGTCAGTTTGGTTAAGTTCAACTTTATATAAAAATTTTTTTTTTTTTCTTTGAGTGACAATTTAAAGTATTCAGTGAAGCGTAGCTATATACGACGAAATGAAACAAAATGATTGAATGAGAGAGAATATGAATGTCATTTATTACAAATAGGACTGTATTTGCATCCGATTTCGCATGTCGTCTATCCGTACTCTTTCTTTTTCTTTTATTCGTCTACATATTAGTTTTTATTTTTTCTTTATTCGTCTGTCTCTATTAGTCTTTTTTCTTCTCTTTATTCATCCATCTATATAATAGCTTTATTTTCTTTTAACGAAGAAAAATAAAATCGTAATGAATAATGTATCTATACATGAATAACTACATGTATATTTTTTTGCTGTCATTCATTCATCATTCATTCATCATACAACAATGACTTTATTAAAGCTGATGTTTTTATCTTCGTGATATAAACAAACGACATGTTCTTTTTTTCAACCTTTGTAGAATATGCCAAGCAAAGCACATCATAATACAATGCAACAATCAAGTCATTCCAAAGAACATCGACATCATCATCGGTCAAATCGATCATCATCATCAGGACTACCCAGTCATAATGGTAATAACCAATTTCAAAATGATAATTCTTTTCAACGATCTTCTTCCCCACCATCACCAATATCAATACATTATTCAGCATATTTTATTGATAGAATTGATTTAGATGACTATACAGAACACACATTAAAACAAACAGTTGACAATGTTGTATCGGGAATCAAAACAAAAGGTTCGTACTTATCTTTTTTATTTATTTATTAATTCTAATTCTTTTATGATTATTATTATTATAGGATTGAAAGTAAAATTAATTTTCCCAGATGAAGGTTTAATTGTTGATAATTTAATTGATCCAAATCAATCATGGATGTATAAAGCAACTGAATTATTATATTTTTGGCGTGATCCTTTTTATATAAATATAATCGTGTCTATAACATCGAATCGATCACGTCCGAGTGCGACTGGACCATATTCAGCATCTATATTTCGTTTACGTGGAGATGGTTTAGTTCAAGTATTTTTTCAACGTGCCCAACAATTTTTTGCTCAATTTTCAGCACCTCCTCCTCCTGTTTCAACCAGTTCAAATAATAATAACAAAATTTTAATTGAAAAATCAACAACTGTAGATAATTTAACTACAAATGATAATCAAAAAAAGAAATCATCAAAACATAATACAATGACAAATAAACAAACAGCTTCAAAATCTGCTCGTTCACTTCAAACAACACCTGTACGTCAAGGTGCACGAACAGAATTTGATCCTGCACGAACAAAAACTAAAACAAGAAATTCAATATTTAATTTGTACAATAATCGAACAAATAGTGACACAACATTATTAAATGAACCACGTGCAAAAAGTTCAAAAAGACGACATAATAATAATAACAATAATAATACTAATTATGAAGGAGATAATAAAATAACATCAATAAGTGTTCATCTATCAGGTGAACATGTTGCTGAATTAATGCGGGAATTAAAAGAATTACGCAATGAAATAGCTTCATTAAAATTGGAAGCAAGATTTACACCAGTACGTTCAACGAGTACAAGTCCAATGACTTTATGTCCAGAAAATACGCTACATTCAACGAACTTATCAACATCATTGCCTGCTCTAACATCCCAATCAGGTACTGAGAGTGAAAGACAAATTGGTCTTAGTTTAATTAATCCTAGACAACAACTAAATGAAATTTTAATAACAAATAAAAGAAAGAATGACCAACCATCTACATTAGTTAATAAACGCACGTCCTCAACTAGTTCAAATAATAATAATAATAATAATGAATCTGACAAAGAAGGTACATTGCTGAATCTATATATTGACTTTTTCAACAGTTCATTTGAATTGGAAAATAAAGACACGAACTAATTAAATCGAAATTTCTCAGGGGCAGGTAACGTGTAAGAGAATCTCCGTTCTTTTTTTATCTTCTTCTGAACATAGTGACATTCAATATCAGTATTTGTAATATAGATAAATTGAGATTAATTCTATTTTGATAAAAAAAATAATAATAAAATTGTATTTTCCTTGACCAATAGATTCATTTATCAGTTAAGTTCGAAAACTACACTTCAAACCGATTGAAGTGGTAGGAAGAATACTTTTTTTTTGGGTCTTTGTAATTTTTTCATTTTTTTATAAGTTCATGAAAAAATTTTCAAGGTCAAAAAAACATCAGAAGAGAAGATGTCCTCACTCAAGGATTCGGTCATGAAAGTCTACATCACGACTCATAAAATTCTAATTAGTAATAAATGTATTAGATTGAGTAGGTCAACACGATATTAATTGTTCTCGGAAATTCGAGAATCGATTCTGCAATGATACAATAGAATAATAATTAAGTTAACCACTTATCTCTTATAATAAGAGATTCCTACATGTATATATTGTTATTAAATTTAGATATAATCAAAAAGTATAAAAACTAAATAATTCATATTACAATTTCAATTCTTTCTTTAGAACCACAGTTGGTAAATTTTGCTGATGCAAATACTGCAATGGATGCATTGAATTCTTCACAAAATGGAGATGGTAATCAACAAACAGTATTTCCATTGAGACCACGTCCAATAAAAACTACCTATACAAATGGTTTTAGTCAGTTGAATAATCCGACATTTAGTTCAACATCGAATAATAATAATCAATTGAAACCAACTTCTAACGAAGATGATGCATCATCGATTGTTATACCTGTGTCAAGTAAGAATACTACTATAATTAAACTATTTCTCTTCATTTATTATTATTATAGAATCTTCATTACCAGTCAAAACAGGTGAAGTGGTAAGTTTTCGTACTGCATTGGATAATACCATGGCATCACCTGATCATACTTATGAAAATATTCCAAATTCATCTCAAACAGATTTGAATAAAACTAATTCGGATTTACGTATGTTTAATGAAAATGATCAACAATTAAAATCTGACATATACGTTAATACAATTGTTGATCCTAATGCTGATTTTCAACAAACACCTGAATCACAAAAAGGAATCGTATTAATTAATTCACAAGAATCTACACAAACAACAACAATGACATCTCTTTCTTCTCAAACAATTGATCCATCACAACTATCTCCACGTCCTCAAACAGCTCTATTTGCAAATCGTTTAACAAATCCAGTATTTTCTGTTGATAGACAATTATTAGCTAATACAATTGCTAATCAATTTGATCTTCATCTTAATTCACCATATTTACAAAAACTTATTGAAAATCAACATTTATTTGTTTCACAAAAACGTACATATGCAAATATGATATGGCAAATAACAGCTGATGAAGAAAATGCATTATGTTCATCACCAGTAAGAACAATACCGAGTATTACTGATACACTTCGAGTAGATTCGAACAGTTCAACAGTTAAATCTATATTAAAACAACAAAAACATCGTGCAGTATCAAAAAAACAACGTATTACATGGGATAGTAGAGTCGAGTAGTTATAATAATGATGATGTGCATGTGTGTGTATCTGTGTTATTAAAAACAACATATTTTTATAAAATTCTTTTCCAATAATTATTATACCAATATATAATATTACTTTTGTCATTCTTATCAAGTATTTTTTATGTATTTTTACTTTTCATAATTACCATTAAGATTTTGGTCTTGCATACGAAATTTCTTCACAGTAAATTTTATTTAGACATGAAGTATATCGCGATCACAAATACTATACAAATCGACAATAAATTCTTTTAGAAAAAAACTAGATCACATTTTTTTTTTAAGAATGGACAAAATAGAAACTCGTTGTTTTTTTTTGTAATGATTTGCTAAAAGTCAAAACAATTGTTAACTTTAGTAAAACAAGTTAGAATTTCATTTTCTTATTGTCTACGAATAACAAATGATTTTTATTGCACTAAAAATAAATTTTCGGCGCTTTATTGAAACAAAATTTCTGTTTTATCTAATGGTTCGTGCAATAATCATTGGTAAATAAACAAAATTGAATTTGTTTAATCCTTTTTTTTTCCTCTTCATTATATTCAGACAATGGAACAGGTATGTGTAAATCAGGTTTTAGTGGTGAAGATAAACCTCGAGCTATTTTTCCAACGATTGTTGGTCGACCAAAACATCAAAGTATCATGGTTGGGATGAATTATAAAGATTCATATATTGGTGAAGAAGCACAAAGTCGTCGCGGTATACTTTCACTTCAATATCCTATTGAACATGGTATTGTTATGAATTGGAATGATATGGAGAAGATTTGGCATCATGTTTTTTATAATGAATTACATGTTTTACCAACAGAACATCCATGTTTAATAACTGAAGCACCATTGAATCCAAAAATTAATCGAGAAAAAATTACAGAAGTATATTGATGAATAGAGAAAATTTAGTAAAATGAAATGTGTTTGTAGATTATGTTTGAAACTTTTAATATACCTGCTATTTATATTGCTATTCAAGCTATTCTTTCACTTTATTCATCTGGACGAACAACTGGTGTTGTTCTTGATTCAGGTGATGGAGTTACACATATTGTACCTATATATGAAGGATATTCACTTCCACATGCTATTGTTCGACTTGATTTTGCTGGTCGAGATATAACGAATTTTCTTATTCAATTATTAATGAAACGTGGCTATGGTTTTACAACATCAGCTGAACGAGATATTGCGAGAGATATGAAGGAGAAATTATGTTATATAGCATTTGATTATGAAAAAGAAAAATTAACAAGTATGAAGACAAGTATAACTGAACGTAGTTATGAATTACCTGATGGACAAATAGTTCGTATTGGTTCAGAACGTTTTCTTGCACCTGAAGTTTTATTTAAACCATCAGTTATTGGTTTAGAACTACGTGGAATTCATGAATCAATGTATTCATCAATAATGCATTGTGATATTGATATTCGACGAGAACTTCTTAGTAATATTGTACTATCAGGTGGATCAACAATGTTTTTAAATATTCATGAACGTTTACAAAAAGAAATTATTCAAATGATTCCAGCATCTGTAGAAATTAAAATCATTGCACCACCACAACGAAAATATTCTGTTTGGATTGGTGGGAGTATTCTATCAACTTTATCGACATTTCAACATTTATGGTTATCAAAACAAGATTATAATGAATATGGGCCAACTATCGTTCATAGACGTTGTTTTTAATTTTACTTGTTTTTATATTGCTTATTATTAATAGATATGAATTAAATAATAACTATTTTGAGATTGATCAATTCACTGTATAGACTGAATGAACTATGCTAGTTTTTGTCTCTTAAAGTTTATTAAATCTAAAGGTGCCATTATTAAAGTTGACTAAATTTATTGAATAGGTCAGCTCTTCACATCTGATTATTTACAATATAAATTAATTGGAAAACTTTATAACAGACTTTTCTCTAAAATTTTATCTATAAAACATTAAAAATATTCTTAAGTTTCTGAAAATAGTTTCTCAAATTCATCAGATAATCTTATTATAATACTCATTTCAAATCATGATAAGATAGAAAATATTTTTCTATTTGCAACTAATACATACGCAAATCCCTTTGTTAAATCACGAGTAACATTCGTCTGCAATGACATCAATCATTATATTTTATAACATAAAAAATAAACGAATATGCTTCTTTAACCTCGCTACCTCCACTAACAATAAGATAAAAATAGGCGTTTTGTTTTCAGTATATATGCTAGAGAAAAATAACTATCATCATTTACTTTTGTTTTTTTACCGATAATACCTACAACATATTGAATGTTAATAATGCAAACATTACTTTTACTTACAATATATATTTTCAATGCAATTAATTTCTTATATCTATCAAATGCTTCCCTCATACCTAATTTTATGAATGCAAAAGTACAAGAAAATTGTACAGAAAAATATGGCAGTCCACCAGCTGAACGTGTTGTTACATTGGATACAGGTTTTATATTTTTCAATTTATGTGGGAATATATCAGATTTTATTACTACATTTAATTTTACTGATTCTAATGGTGATGTACGTGGAGCCTGTTTTATAACTGCACAGTCAAAACAACCATTGCCTCTACTTGTTTGGTTACATCCAGCTATGTTTCCAACATCATCAATATCTCTAACAGGACTTCTCCAACAAGCAGATAAAGCTAATTTAACAGGTACATCTGATGGACCATTAGGCTATCATATACTTATGCCATATGGTCGTAGTACAACTCATATTTATCCAGCACCAGCTGATCAAGGCATCGGATGGGACAATTGGTATCGAAATTATAATCGATCTGATCCAGCTTTAAATGTCGATGTTCAAGCAATTGATTATTCCATAAATAAAGTTCTAACTACTCAGTCTGATGATTATCAAATTGACAAATCACGTGTATTTTTATCTGGTTGGAGTAATGGTGCAGCAATGGCAGTTATATATGCACTAAACACACCCGGTATTGCGGCAGCAGCTGTTTACTCTCCACCAGACCCTTATCGAGATTATAATGATTTATGTGCTCAGGACCCGTATCCAACTGATTTTACACCCATACTTCTCTTATATAATCAATGTGATGTCATAAATATTTGTGTAACTGGAGTAAATTTTATCGAAGATTTAAACAATCGCTACTGTGATTTAACTGCTGAAGCTGTTATTATTGATTCTGATCTTCAAAGAACGTCGGAATGTGATAAAAGTTGTACTGCTGAATTTGGTATAGGTTTGCTTCGACACACTAGATGGCCAAGCTCTTGCAATGATGATGTTTTATTTGACTTTTTTAGAAAACATCCATTAGTTGAATATTCGTTTAAGAATCAACATAAATAAAAAAACATTTTTATCTTAACATTATATAACTAAAAGAAACTATTACAAGTCATTTTATATTTGTATGTTATTACATTTATAACATCTGATTCACCGTACGGGATATTATTTTACTGTATCTAAAGATGCCATTATTTAGATCAGTCAAATTTATTGAATAGATCAGTTCTTTAAATCTGATCATATGTAACTACTATCTATTAAGTATTAAAAATTGACAATTAGAATGTATAACTCAATTTATGAATAACGGCGCAAATTAATTAGAAAACTTTATAATAGACTTTCCTCTATAATTTTATCTCTATAAAATATTAAAAATATTCGTAAGTTTTTGAAAATAGTTTCTCGAAGTCAGTCTAGTAAAATTTTGTTTCCAAATAATTTTATCAAAATCATTTTAAATCATGACAAGATAAAAAATATTTTTCTATTTGTAAACAATACATACGCAAATCCATTTACTAATTTATGAGTAATATTCACCTGTGATGACGTCGAATTATACATCATTGGTAATGACATCCATCATTTTATTTTGTAACATAAATAAATAATCCAGACATGCCTCTTCAACCCCGCTACCTACACTTATAATGAGATAAAATAAGCTTTTTATTTTCAGTATATATACGTCGTAGAGAATAATAACTATCATCATTTACTTTTGTCTTTACTTACATAATACCTACAGTATACTGAGTGTATATAATGCAAGCAGTACTTTTACTTATAATATATATTTCCAATGCAATTAATTCCTTATATCTATCAAATGCTTCCATTATTCCTAATTTTATGAATGAAGCTGTACCACAAAATTGTACAAAATATGGTGATCAACCAGCTGAACGTGTTGTTGCATTGGATACAGCTTTGATGCTTCTGAACTTATGTGGAAATATATCAGGTTATGTTAATACACTTAAGTTTACTGATTCTAATGGTGATCCACGTGTAGCATGTTTTTTAATTACACAATTAAAAAGGCCATTACCTTTACTTGTTTGGTTACATCCAGCTATGTTTCCAACATCGACAATATCTCTAACAGGTCTTCTCGAACAAACAAATAAAGCGAACTTGACAGGTACATCTGATGGACCACTAGGCTATCATATACTTATGCCATATGGTCGTAGTACAACACATATTTATCCAGCACCAGCTGATCAAGGCATCGGATGGGACAATTGGTATCGAAATTATAATCGATCTGATCCAGCATTAAATGTCGATGTTCAAGCAATTGATTATTTCATAAATAAAGTTCTAACTACTCAGTCTGATGATTATCAAATTGACAAATCTCGTGTATTCTTGTCTGGTTGGAGTAATGGTGCAGCAATGGCTGTTGAATATGCACTAAACACACCCGGTATTGCTGCAGCAGCTGTTTATTCTCCACCAGACCCTTATCGAGATTATAATGATTTATGTGCTCAAGACCCGTATCCAACTAATCTTACACCCATACTTCTCTTATATAATCAATGTGATGTCATAAATATTTGTGTAACTGGTGTAAATTTTATCGAAGATTTAAACAGTCGTTACTGTAATTTAACTGCTGAAGTTGTTATTATTGATTCTGATCTTCAAAGAACTTCAGAATGTGATGAAAGTTGCACTGCTGAAATTGGTTTAGGTTTTTTTCAACATATTAGATGGCCAATTCCTCGCAATGATGATGTTTTCTTTGACTTTTTTAGAAAATATTCATTACCTGAACATTCATTTTTAGATCAAAATAAATAAAAAAAACAAGTTTTTCTTAAAATTATATAATTAAACTGAACTATTAGAAGTCATTCTATCCTAGACTAATATCACTAATCATTTTATACTTGTATGTTATTACATTTATGACATCTTATTGACAGTACGAGACATATTATTTTATTAAAAATCAATCTATTATGTAAAACATTTATATAAAGATCACTAACAAAAATTATACACAAGAGTGATAAACGCTCTTATTCTTGTTTAGTATTACATTACATAACGAATATTTTTTTCGTAAATGTATAAATGATTTTATTTCTTTTACAAGAGTAAAATAAAACAAAATTTTCTTTTATTTATTGTAATATAAGTCAATTTAATTAAATACGTACAACATATTCTCCATTAACATGTATGATACGCATTAAATTTGTTACTGGTAATGATTTTTCTGTCATAGAAGTTGGTTGCTTTCGATTATGATGATTATCATGTTGATAAATCTTCGAATCGGTTGTATTAAGACGATTTAAACGATAAGATGGTAATGCATATTGTCGTGTTGGTGGTAGTGGTGGTAAAAGTGAAATAGATCGTTCTATTTTTGTTTTATCTATTTCATAATCACAATTATTTTTAATTGATGTTATTGGTGTTGATAGATTTACTACACATGGTATTGTTAAATGAATATTTTCAATTGATGATTGATATCGTTTACCATCATTTGACATTGTTCGTGTTAATGTCCACGTTTGTTCTTGTTCATATGAACTTGAATATGGATAGTTTGCTTTATTAGCATTCACTATTGAATAATAAGTACAACATTGATGTGCATGTATTTTATCATTATCATGCAATGATTGTTCCACATACCACTCGACTTGTTCTCGTGGCATCTCAATTGTTCATCAAAGTAGATTCCTCTCTTACTAATCTATATATGTATGTATATATTCACGTACTGAAGACTATGAATAAAGAAATATGAGCATTTAAAGAGACGTCTCCTTCTTTTTCTTCTTTGATTATAACCTTAAAGGTAAATTCTCTTTTTTTTTTTTTC